CACCTGTGCCGAGTCCTGAATCTCTATCGTGTCTTCCGGTACGCCTAATTAAGAAAAATGTACGCGAAGGCAACTGAAAAAAAAGCTAGGAAAAACCTTCAATAATAAAACTGCCGAACTCGGTAATAGCAAGATGCTAGTGAGTACGCTTTTAATCGCTTTGCCTGTATAATAGGATCATCACAACACATGACATTCACAATTTTGTAGCACCTCAAACTGCATGTTGATTCATCTTTTATCAGTAGCAGTGCTGCTAGCTCAAAGAGCAGGCTTATCTTAGACTTAGAAATGGCTTGGACTGGCTTTTTCTTTCATTCAAGTACTAAGCAACAGGATATGTCACAGCTGGACATTACCAGATCCAGTACACAATAGAAGTTATTCAAAGATGCAGATTCTGTTGCAAGACCTTTTTCAGCAACGATAAATATCGTAACTATCTCAAAATTTGTTCTTTCTTCAAAGAGAACATGGAGACAACAACAAAACTCGCTGTTGTTTGGCGTTGGCGTTTGGCGGTTTTGTTCTCCCAGATCCAAATTGCAATCTACTTTAGACCTCCGAAGACGACCTCGTCGAAACGTTAGGTCGATAAAGATACCACCAATCTAATACAATTATATAGGGTGTCCCAAAAGTATGTATGCACTGTTTGTTTGTTAATATCTCTCTTCCCAAGAAGTCTTTTGCCTTGCTTCAGGTACCGTTTTGTAAAGCTGGCTTCAACTTAGATTTGCGTTGTGAAACGAATCACCCATTTCTCTTCATTACTGTAGGATTACGGTAGAAATTAAAGAGGGTTTTGAGCAATAAAGGCCATATTTTGCCTCGGAAAGGAAACAAAACAGCCTGAAAGCTTTTACACTAGGCTAATTAGAGTTGCTGATTTGAATGTAAAGTTCCCAACTTATTATGATGCTTCATTGAAGAGTTATGCCGGGTAAGAGGTAGCGGCCATTTTTTCAATGTTTATAAAAAGTGCGGTTACACAGTTTAGAAAGCTTCGTAATCTTGTGAATAGTTAAGTATTGAACTCAGCGTCCATAAAAACCCTATTACACAAGTTTTCAATTTTTTTTAAATTTTGAATTAGCAGCTTTTTCCACATGGACACCATATGTTTCAAGTTTCTACCTAATCTTACAGTAACGAAGAGAGATGGATGATTCGTTCTATAATGCAAATCTAAGTTGAACCCAGCTCTACAAAACGGTAACTGAAGCAAGGTAAAAGACTATTGGAAAGGGAGATATTAACGATCAAACAGTGCGTACATATTTTCGTTTTGATCGTTGTGTAGGATTTTCTTATGCCGAAACCAGGTTAATTGGTGGAACTTTATTGACTCAACGTTTCGAACAATTCGTCTTCGTCAGGAGTCTGACGAAGATGAATTGTTCCTAGCATGAAGCGAGGAACTACAGCATCACCTTTAGGTAAACATAGATTTGAAGCACACGATGGCACCTTATTCGACGTAAAATGTACCACACTAGCTTTTAAGAATGAGATTTGCGCACGAAAAACGCTTGAAGCAGCATGGATATCCTCCAAGAATCCTGCTATGAATAGTAAAAATGAATGTATTGCCATTACGAGTAATCTCTTGCCCCTGCTATCATTATGCAAGTTCACATCCGCACATAATATATATAACTTGACACACTGAGTAAAAACTCAGTTGCGTCCGTCACAGTTGTGCGGGCTACTGGTCTTATGGTGGACTGAGGTTGGCACTCTCGTTTAGCTTTTCAGTACATTGCACCAGGGAAGGTCTAACGGGCAGCGTTTGACGAGATGTTTGGCGGTGTAGTGAGTACGAGTACCTACGATCCTTTTCAGACTCCTGACGAAGACGAATTGTTCGAAACGTTGAGTCAATAAAGTTCCACCAATTAACCTGGTTTCGGCATAAGAAAATCCTACACAACGATCAAAACGAAAATACCCAGGTTCAAAGAAGAGAACACATGGAAATTACTTACCAACGTACCGCCAACATTGTTCTCTTTGGTGCGTAGTGCCCTCGCACTCCGCCAACGGGTTGTAGCTGAACGCCAGTCATTGACCTTCCTCCAACGTTGTAAAAGAACAAATGTCATACCGAAATTCATTTCAAAGAAGAAGATCGGAATTATCTGCGGATTACCAGAGAATAACAAGAAGATAATCAACATTTATAATAACATGTTGAATCTTGCTATTGAGCGAAAGAAGAAAATCTTGTATTCCACGTTATTGAAATGTAATTGTAAAGAAAGCAATTGTAAACGACTTTTGCAAGATGACATTTGGAGGAGGATTGAAGACGGATCGAAGTTGATTTGTGGCACTATACGGTCTAATGTCAAATCACGACTTTGCAAGAAGTACGACCAACTCCGGGACGCATTACGTGAAAAGCATGAAAACAAAGAGGTTTGCCTTCTTCAAACCCACCACCCTACTAACTGTTTAGCTCATAATGAAAGTCACGCAAGAGTCACTATCATTGGCGACATTCATTTAACCGAACGCGCAACTAATTTTCTCAGTCTTGGTCCGTCGTATTCGCCATCTCAAAATATAAGTGCTTCATTTTGCCGTAAAGTACTTGGTAGCTTGCATAGATTACGCGATTCGCTAAGGATAAAAGCTCAGCGAGAAGATGTGCAAGTTTTACAAACTAATGAAAGGTCGATGCTAACACCAATACCGTTCCCGCGCTTATTTTACAAGGAACCCGAACCAGTGCTCACCGCTGACACGAAATTCCGCATTCTAGCTAATGAAATCCTGCATGTTTTGAACAGGTTCAAGGGGGTCCGCATGACAAACTTGACGCAGGAACAACGAGAAGGCTACAAAGAGGTGCGTGAATTAGTGAGTGCAGGAACTATCCGGGTATCGACAAGTGACAAAGGAGGAGAGCTGGTAGTGATACCTCAAGGATTAGATAGAAAAATTGCACA